CTAAAAATGGTGTAAATATAAATCATTGAAAACATGAAATTCATAGTTCCATATTGATAAAAGGTTGCTAATGAAAAAGGGAGGTCTCTTGCTTTGAGAAGAGTGCAGAGTGCTGACTAATAGATATGAAGGGAGTACTGAAGTTGGAATGTTATATTTTGCAACCATAGTAAAGATTGATTCAAGCAGAAGATATCAATCAATGTTAAATCTGTATGAAAATTTAGGTAAGTGGGACATATACATGGACATCAGTGATTCTACATGTGATATTGTTAGCATAGGTAGCTAAAGATTAATAAAGGAAGGGAGCAGCCCTTCTGGCATGGCTCAGTGGTTGAGTATCTACCTAGGAACCAGGAGGTTGCAGTTCAGTTCCTGGTCACAGCACATGCCTGGGTTGTGGGCTCGATCCCCAGTGTAGGGTGTGCAGGAGGCAGCTGATCAATGATTCTCTCTCATCATTGATGTTTCTATCGCGCTCTCCCTCTCCCTCTCTGGAAAAAAAAAGTAAAAATAAAATGAAGGGAGCAAAAGAAATCAGACATTATTAAGCATAGTCAACTAGGGAGCATAAAGCCTGCTTAACCAGAAAGCTACTGCTTCACAAACCCCAGGGGATTGCAGCATTTCCCTGCAACCTGTATAGGGAGGAAGAACTGACTTTTCAATCTCCCAGGTTCACTGGCCCAGAGAATGGGGGAAAGTGCTTCTATGAGGCATGAGGAGCCAAGATGGCAACCATAGAGGCCTGTTTGTCTAGCTTGGGAAAAGGATTGCATTGGATAAGGAACACAGAACCCCAGAAGATTTAGGAAATAGATTGGTTAGGGGGTGGATCCATCAGAAGCCCATGAAAGCTTGGGAAGTTGATTGGTTAACTTGAAGAAAAGCCTGGTCTTTCCCAAGCCCATCTATATATATAAAAGCGTAAGCGATCAAACGACCGAACAACCGGTCGCTATGATGCACACTAACCACCAGGGGGCAGATGCTCAATGCAGGAGCTGCCCTCTGGTGGTCAGTGCACTCCCACAGTGGGAGTGCCACTCAGCTGACCGATCCGTCCCGGTGGTCCACCAGCTGGGTAGCAGCCACTCACTCCCTCAGTAGTCCTGCAGGTTCAATCTCCAGAGAATGGGCCAGGCACCCACAGACTGGTGCTGCCAGCACTATCCGCGGCTGCTTCCTCTCCCCAGATGCTCTGCAAGGAAGAAACGATATAAAAGTGGCCACCAGGTGGCTTCCGACAACCGGCACGAACATCAGCAGGATGGATCTTGGATCCCGGATCCCAGGCCAGCAAGTGTATCCCACCACCCACCAGAAGGGCCTATGGCGTCCTGCCCCTGGTCCCCCTCCCCCCGCCCCCCTGCCTCTGGCGGATGCCAGATACAGGGCCCACAGCTGGCTGATGACTGCTGCTGCAGCAGCGTGAGCCTCTCCAGATTGGGACTGACTGGGCGTGAGCCTGCAGCAGGCACAGTGGGGCTGGGATGAGCAAGAGCGGCAGGCAGGAGTGGCAGGCAGCATTGGACTGAGGGTTTTGGCCCCATCCCCACAGGCCAACCCAAGGGACCCCACCCATGCATGAATTCGTGCACCGGGCCCCTAGTGATAATATAATCACAACTTAACAAAGAATTTTTCTCCAAGAAACCAGAAACACCAATCAGAAAGGATATATGCATCCCTATGTTCATAGCAGCACAATTTACCATAGCTAAGATTTGGAAACAGACTAAGTGCCCATCAGCAGGTGAATGGATTAGAAAACAGTGGTACATCTACACGATGGAATACTATGCTGCTGTAAAAAAGAAGGAGCTCTTACCATTTGCAACAGCATGGATGGAACTGGAGAGCATTATGCTAAGTGAAATAAGCCAGTCAATGAAGGAAAAATACCACATGATCTCACTCATTTATGGATAATAAAGACCATTATAAACTGATGAACAAAAATAGATACAGAGGCAGAGCAGCATCGAACAGACTGTCAAACTACAGCTGGAAGGCCGGGGAGGGTTGGGGCGGGCAGGGTAAGGATCAACCGAAGGACTAGTATGCATGCATATAAGCATAACCAATGGACAGAAGACACTGGGAGGCCGGGGTAAGGTCAAGGGAAAAAAAAAAAGGAGACATATGTAATACTCTTTGTAATACTTTAGGCAATAAAACAGAATTTAAAAAAATAAACAAGAACAAAAAACAAAGAAGCTTTCTCTCTGGGAACAGGCTTGCCGGGTTTGTTCACACACTGTTTCTGTAGCAGCCATGTGCCCTAGCAGCTGTGTGGCTCATAGCTGTGTGGACTTCAAGCAGTCTCCAAGCCCAGCCTGGGTACTGGACAGAGCAGCACCAGCCGGCCATAGCACAGCCAGGAACTGGACTAAACTTTGACATGGCACACAATCTCTAGACATTGCCCTATTTCTGGGCTTAATGAAAACAAAATTGGATTTTTCCCAAGGCGGGACAGATGGAGAAGAGACATTAGAAACCTGGGAACAGCCTTCTATCTATGGTGATATATAACCTGAACAACATCTAAAGAGATTGGGCACATCATTGCCTCAGTATTATTGCTCCTTATAAAGTGACTATTGGAATTTTGGTTATTTTTTGAGATATCTTCAAATACTTAGTTAGCTCTTCTCTGTATGAGCCTAGCTAAACTCAGTTTTAGCTCTGTTCCAGATCTCTGTTCCAGACTCCACTAATAACCAATGAGGTGTATTGCCTTTTGATAGAAAATTGAGCCTGGTATGTTTTGGAGAGATGGTGCCAGTGTGCCTTCTAAAGCCTGTGGAAAACCATAGCCTTGCAGGTGACCCCTTTCTGGGTTTGGATCAACTCTTTCATTTTTTATTTCGGAAATCATGTAAAACTTACGGAGAAATTATAAGAATAAGAAGAGTACAGAGATCACCTATATTATATTCTTCATCCTGATTTACCTATTGTCAATATTTTACCCTATATGTTAGCTGGCTAATATAGTCTTAAATTTTAATTTTCCTTCACTCTGCAAGTCTCCCCCCTGCCCCCATTTTGGTCATGTAATACGTTCTGGAGAGTCTTCAAAACTGAGGAGGGTATATATAGGGTGTCCCAAAACTCACGCAAGAAGTAATTTTGATAGAAAACACAGGTTTATAATTAAAAATTGTAAATTTTTCATTGATTCATAAAGTATACAATATAGGGTTATGTATGGAATAGCACATCGGGTAAATGGCCTCCATGGCTTTGCTGGCACATATGCAAAGCCATGGTCTTCATTGGTCTTCATTGTCCCTGCTCCTGGGCCGTAATTGGTACTTGGTAATGCTTATCGAATTGAAGGGATTGAAATCAAAGGGCAACAGATATTAGAATCTGATTCAATAAACCAAGTACAATTAGGCTTTTATTTTTTGTTGTTGTTAATGCTCACGCAAAATTCAAATCTTGCGTGAATTTTGGGACACCCTATACATTTGCTTCTTGAAGCCTGGATCTGTCTTGTCCCTATTTGTGGTTCACCAACAATATTAGAGTTGAAGCAGCCTAATTTATCTATGAAGAATAATATTGCAAATTTCTGTAGTGGTAGAAGAATTTGTGTGCATTCTGGTAGAAAGTACATGGTGTGGAGGGTGGAAGTTGTTAACCTAAATGTTTTCTGAAATTGTTGAGGTTGAAGATTTGGAGTGGAATTATATTGGAGCTAAAGAAGATAGGTGGTGTTCCTTGATTAAGTTCTATTTTGGAGGCAGAGCTACCAACTTACTATCACTTAACTATAGTTGAAGTCCGTAGAGACGTTAATGAAATTACCTAGGTTGGTAAATTTAGTACTACTTGGTCAGTTAATCTTTTTCTTGTTCCTCCCTATAGGAGATGTGCAAAAGAGTATAGGGCACTCTTTCCTGTTGGATCAGAGTTCACGAAACTAAAGTCCTTTGTAAAATCTAGAACTTAGTGCTATCAGGATCTAAGACTTTCTCTATGCTTCAGGACTGTTGGAATTATCAGGCAGGCTTGGATTGTCAAGAATGTAAGACGCCCTCGTTTTCTTAGAGTAGGAAGATGTAAAAGAATTTTGTGATCACATAAACATAAATGGAAGTTCCAAAATTGATATAAATACAAAAAATTAGACACATAAACACAAATATTAATCATTGCAGTGCTACAGCAAGCTCTTAAAGAAAATTAAATGTCCTGTATTAAGATTAAGGTATGGGGTATCAGTTAAAATGTGGACTATTCATATCATTCACATCCATGGAATTGAATTTTATGCATCCATTAAACATCATAACTCAGATTATCTGTAGACATGTAAAAATGCTTGTGACATAATATGGAAAAATCAATATACATTTCCTGCACATGTGATTTTAACTAAAGCTACATATACTTATGAATAACATGATAGTAATAACTTATAGTAATGTTGTTATATAGCATTTTTGGTAGAACAGAAATTAACCACTTAAAAAATGAACTTTATTTTTTAGAGCAGTTTTAGGCTTTCATAGCAAAATTGAGCAAAAGGCACAGAGAATTCTCATACACCCCCACATGTGTACAGCCTCCCTCATTGTCAACATCCCCCACCAGAGTGATACGTTTGTTACAATTGATGAACTTTTAGTGAATCATCATTAACACCCAGAGTTCATAGCCACTTTAAAAAAAATGAAGTTGGTTGAATTTTGAAATCTCTCCAGGGTTTATTGGTCAACAATCCAGAAATCTGTACGCAGGGAATCTTAGACACTCACTCCCTGACAGCTGCTAGAGGCTGAACGTTTATAAAAATTAAACCAATAGGGAAATTTATTCCAGTTAATCCCCTCCAGAAGACCTCTATCCCCAACCTACTTTGCCTTTTAACTCTTTATTTCCCTCTCACAATCGTGACTGGGCTGTGCCCGTTTGGTTGTGATTGAGCATCTCTCTCTGCACTATTACATGTGGACTTGTCTTCTTCCATCTCCCTCTAGGCAGTACGTTTTCAACTGAGCACCTCAAGCTTCAACTCCAGAAGGAATCCCTAAATGAATTGAGGAAAGAGTGTACTGCGAAAAGGTAAATGAAACTGATTGTCAAGTTTACTTTGAGGATAGGATTTGGAAAAGTAGGATTCTTTAAAAACTGCTGTTATTAATTTGTATTCTACATACCTCAGGGACATATTCTTTTATTCAACAAATATTTATTAAGCACTTACTATGTCTCATACACTGATAGAGGCGGTTATTAAAGCTCCTAGTATATACTCATAATCAGAAATGAGAACTGTTGTAGTTTTCAAGGCCATAGCACCATGACTTGATGTCTGAATCTTCTCCTCTTCCTGTCTTCAACATGTAGTAGAGTTGTTAGTTTTTTCTTCAGTAATTTCTTTAGATTTACTGCTGTTTAATGTTAGCTCATTTGGATTACCTCAACAGCTCCTAGATGATCTCTCTCACATCATTCTCTCCGTCTTTCCAGTTTATCCTCCACGTTGTTATCAGACCTCTCCTCTATTTTTACCATATATTTTTTCTTTTTTTAAGAGCTATGGTGATTGTTTTGCTTAGCTTTCAAATAACTTTTAATAAATTGGTGCTATACCACTGTAGCTAATTTTAGTCACTCCACAACATTCACTTAACAAATGCTAATGCTTCTTCTCTTTATTTTTTTCTAGCACATGCTCAATTTGTTGCCTCCTCTATTCTTTTGCTCATCCTTATTCATTTGTGTGTTTTTCTTTCAGGAAAGTAATTTCATCCTGCATTTTTCTTTAAAAAAACCTTAGCAATTGAAGACTTGAGCATGTTAGACCCAGAAAAAACCTTGGACTTCACTTAGTCTGTTCCTCTCAGTTAGCAGATAGGAAAGCAAGGCTTTTGGGAGTTACTTTTTGTCCTACTCACTAGGAAAGCAGAATTAGATCCTCTATGTCTTCAGTGATGTTTGCATTATAGAACTACGTTTACATTTCACTTTGACCGACAGCTTCTCCTAAATGCTTTCCCCCCCTTACATTCTTAATACAGTTGAGCAGGTATTTGTACTGTAGGTGTTTCATCTGTTGTTTATGTTTCTTGAGCAGTTCAAAGAAGAGCTGCATCATCTCATGCTGCAGTTTTTGCTTGTTTGTTCTTTTTCTTAAATTATATTCCTAACCTGGCAGCAGTTTTTTTGAGGTAGTTGTAACATGTAGTTGAAGTGAAAAATAAAATATTTTTTTAAGGAACTACTAGATGGATGATATATCCTGAAATCATATTAAATGAGATGGGGGTTGCCTTATAGGTCCTCTTTAAACCTTGTTTCCTTATTTATAAAATTGATATAATAATATTAACCTAATAGCGTTGTTATAATAATTAAATAAAGCCCTTTTAAAGCTCCTGGCATATAGTAGCAGGTGCTCAGTCAGTGATGATTTATACCCTTTACATCCCTTAAAGGGTATACACATATACTAGGCCTCAGTATGTATAGAGTTGGCTTGGTTGATAGTAGTTAGAGATAGGTAAGGGTGTATGTTAGATATTATTCTTGCCTCTACTGCTAAGTTTCTATGGCCTAGTCTACTAGTAGACCGTGCAATCTTTTTCTGTGTCAGTTATGTGGAAATAAATGTTTGAAAGCCTGTAAGCATTTTTTTTTTTTTTTAACAAATGTACTTTTTTCCTTCTCTTTAGAGAACTTTTTCTGAAGACTAATGCTCAGTTGACAATTCGTTGCAGGCAGTTACTGTCTGAGCTTTCCTACATTTACCCAATTGATTTGGTAAGTTTCAAATTCTCTGAAAAAATGTTGTTTTGTTTTAAAAGATGATTTCTATTTGAAATTTCCTCTCAATGAAAAAACCCATTGCTCTAGTCTTAGTCATATGCTCTGTCATGATTTCATTCAGGAGCTAATATCCATTTTAAAAATAGATTTAGATTTGATCAGCATTAAGTTCCACCATTAATTTTTCATACCAATTTGTTGGAGGGATGTGCTCATCTTCGTCTAAAAGAATACCAAAATCTTTAGGATCTTTTCACTCAAACACATTATCAGCTACCACCATTTCTTTTTTTAAAATATATTTTTACTGATTTTTAGAGAGAGGAAGGGAGAGGGATAGAGAGAGATAGAAACATCGATGAGAGAGAAACATCAATTGGCTGCCTCCTGTACACCCCCTACTGGGTGTCAAGCCCTCTGTTTGGGCATATATCCTGACCAGGAATCGAACCAGTGACCTCTTGGTTCATGAGTCGATACTCAACCACTAAGCTGCACTGGCCAGGCTCAACTACCACCATTTCTGATACATACATGCAGACACAGTACATGTCTCTCCTTAAAGAATATAATTACTAGTTAATTTATATTTATTAGTATTATTTCAGATATTCCTGTCAGACTGTTAAGTTCTTTAATCTAGTTTCTTGGAGTGAATGCAAAAAGTAAAATTTTATTAAAACTGACTAGATTCTTTTTAGAGAACCATATCTGCTAAATTTGATGTGTTTTTTTGAATGAAGACTAATTTTTCATTTAAAAGACTAATATTTTGAGAGGAAAGTTAATAGGATTTTAGGTTGCTCATAAATCTTACTCTATTTAAGATTTTTCATTTATAGCTATGAATTGGGCAAAGGATATTTTTATGATAAAATTTTTTTATGGCTTTTTGCTTAGATGTGCTGTTTTAAATGTTTATATTATAGAAAATTTCAAGTATATAAATATATAGTGGTATAATGAATCATCATGTACTAATCACCCAGCTTCAACAATTATGATAATATTTTAAGTCTAGGACAATATTGTCTTTGAATTAACACTGACTTGTTGAATTCTTGGAGATTTGACTTAGAGTTACTTTGCTTTATACATAAAAACAGTTAATTTCATTCTTTGGTTGTATTCACAGAATGAGCATAAGGATTATTTTGTATGTGGTGTCAAATTGCCCAATTCTGAGGACTTCCAAGGTATTTTATTTCTTTTACTTCTAAGTATTTGCTGTGTATAGGATATGAGTACGTTGCAGGGAAAAATAGAGATATCGTAAAATGTTGTTACCTAGCCTTTCACCAGAATGGTCTTGGACCTTTTGTCCCTTCCCAGTTGTAAGTATATAGATTCAGATTCCCTGATAGACTTAAAAGGCCATTTGGTCTAATCATGAGGAAAAAAATAGTTGCACATTATATTTGAAACTTAAAAGAAAATATTTTTTAAAGGGCTTTAAGAAAATTAGACAGTGGGGTACGTAAGAATACTTATATCCTCCCTATTCTTTTGCTTTTATTTTCATGACAAATTTGTATGTGGTTGGGAGCAGAGAATAACAAACATTAATCTGTTGTTATTTAGAAAATCATATTTCTGCTGATGTGAAATGTATTTGGAAATTTAATTTTTTTACATTCCTACTATGACAGGTTAAAGTTGTTCTGTCATTTCTGTTCTCTTTTAATTAAAAAATTTATATTAAAGATAATATATATACTATGATTCATAGTAATTGCTGATTTTAAAATATTTAATTTTCCTATTCTCTTTACCAGTATGCCAAAGAAAAGAACTTGACAATAAAATATTTTTTTATTGTTAGCAAAGTAGCATTTCCCCCCTAGTCTACACAGTGCTTTAGGCCTGTTAAATAGCTTTATAAATTATTTTCAAAGCTAGCATATTATCTATTTGGGAAGAAGTTATTAAATATAGAGCATTACCAGTTTTGGTTGGGATGTCCTTCCATTTCCCTATAAAGGAAATGTTGTTATTTATGGTCCTTTAACATTTAAGACTATTTTAATTTATTACCTCTATTGGCCTTTACAGCCACCTTTACAACAAGTAGTTGGGACATGATAAAAGAAGAGTGATAAAAAAGGAATGGAAAAACCTGTATTCAATCCTTGTTCACTTTCTAGAAACCATGTAATTTGGAGCAAGCCATCTAAGCTTTGAGTTGATTTCCTAATTGATAGTATGAACATATTAATTCATGTTGTGAGATTATATCTATAAAAGCATGATATTTTGCCTTATCTTTAATCTTTACAAAAACAAACATAGGAAACCCATAAGGAAGGTGGTACAGTCTCATTTTACAGTGTATAAATGAGCTATTCAGAGATTTGCCAGAGACCACAAAGCTAGGTAATAATCTAGCTGGGATTTGCCTGGTTTTCATTGTGCAGTAGTCCTTCTAATTTCTGTAAGTCATACAAATGTGCTTTCGTGTTGATTTTAGGCAAAGTTATGGTGTCTTAAAGTCCATGACACATCTTTTTCCTCATTCATCTATTTACAAAGCTACCGAGTACCTTGAGCCCTGTGCCAGGTTCCAGGGACACAGAACATTCATTTATTGAAAAAATATTAATTCAACTCAGGTACTGTGCTGAGTTTTGAGGATATGATGATAGAAAAATATGTTCTCTCCTTTCATGGAGCATACACAGCCTATTGAGCTAATAAATAAGAAAATAAGGCCGAAACCGGTTTGGCTCAGTGGATAGAGCGTCGGCCTGCGGACTGAGAGGTCCCAGGTTCGATTCAGGTCAAGGGCATGTACCTGGGTTGCGGGCATATCCCCAGTAGGAGATGTGCAGGAGGCAGCTGATCGATGATTCTCTCTCATCGATGTTTCTAACTCTCTATCTCTCTCCCTTCCTCTCTGTAAAAAATCAATAAAATATATTTTAAAAAAAAGAAAATAAGTATGTAACAAGTATTTAGTAAAGGAATATGCTATCTTAGACAATAAAGGAACCTACGTTAGATAAAGCAGAGAACAGCTCTCTGAGGAGAAGCATTTAACAGAAAATTTGAAGCTGAAAGGAGTCAACTATATTACAGTTGGGGAGAGCATTACTTAGAAGAGGGGCAGCAAGTACAAAGGTCAGGATGCAGTAATGGGCTTGATAAATCTAAAAAAACTCAGGGTGAGGGGATTGGGAGAAAAGACCTGTATTTTGGGCAGTTATGTAATCTCTCAGAGCTTACTTTCTTGACCTGTAAAAAATGAGGTAATATCTACATCTCCAATTCATTGTGATGATTGAATGAGATAACATTTGAAAATGCTTTTCCTTTTAAAGTGCTCATATAAATGCACTTGAAATTAGTTACAAGAGAGAGGAAGGAAAGAAGGAGAGGGAAGGAAGCAAGGAAGGAGGGGAGGGAGGGGAGAGAGAGAGAGAGAGAGAGAGAGAGAGAGAGAGAGAGAGAGAGAGAGAGAGAGAAAAGAGGAGAGAGGATAGAGGGGAGAGGGAAGGGGAGGGGAGAGGGGGGAGGGAGAAGAAGGAGGGGGCAAGGGAGGAGGGGGGAGGAGAGGGAGGGGAGGGGAGGGGTGGGGAGGGGAACGGAAAATCCCAAATCAGACCTATGTGGCCGGGGCATAGTGAGCAAGAGGTTGAGTTATATCAGGAGAAATAGGAAAGGTCAGCCAAGGCTCTGAGGCCACTGTAAGGAGTTTAATATTTTATTCTCAGTTGAGTGGGAAACCCCTGAACGGTTTCAAAAGGGGAATTACATGAGCTGATTTATGTTTTTAAAAGTTACTCTGGCTGCTAAAAGCAGAATGATTTGAAGGGAGGCAGTAAGGGAAGCAGGAATATCAGTATTGGTGACTGTCACCTTAATCCACTCTGGGACATTTCTTGATTCTGTTTTTGTTTTCTTTGACGTTGTTTGTTTCCCAGTTTTTCATAGCTTTTATTAGTTACCTGTGCTTTGTGTATGCCCAACAAGCTGAATAAATTCTTCATACTCTTTAAAATAGAAGTTCAGCTTTTTAGTGCACTTGCTGAAAAGTGAAATGGGAGATAAAATGAAATAAGTATTTACTTTCACTCTAAGGCCCTATTCATGCCCCATAACTCCTAGGAATCAGACATTTTAAGAAGCACATATGGTGGTATTGGACTTTAGAATTGTATGTTAGCATTCTGGAAGGCATTTCCATATACTCAATTTACTGAGTGCCCTGTGTGTGTCATCTGCTGTGCCAGGTGCTGAGGGTATACAAAGATGATTAAGACATTGATCCTACCTCAGTGAAGTTTCAGTCCAATTGAGGCTATCCCACTTGTAATCAAGCCAATCAAGAAATATTTATTGCATTCATACTCTGTGTCAGGCATTTAGAAATTATCCCAGGTACATGAGACTCAAAGAAGTGGGCATAATCAGTCTATCAGGAGGGGATCAGAAAAGCCTTTTTAGCAAAATTGGTGGCTGAGGTGTCTTAAAAAAATGAAATAGTATTCCCCTGTTGAGAGAAGGGTAGCAGGACATTTTAGACTGGGTGAGTAGAAATATGATAGCAGGGAATATCTTGCACAATGCTATCTTATTAATTAAATGTTCTGTGAGAGAAGAAATTACATTCCATTTTTTTTTAAAAGACAAGAAAATTGAGGCTCAGAGAGATTAGTTAATTTTTCCAAAGACTCATGCTAACCAGTGGCAGAACTAAAGTCATCTCTGGTCAGCCCGATTTTAAGGTACATATTATTCCTGTCATGATGCACTTTTCTTCCTTGTTTTAAGTAATAACCTCTTCCAAACTTCTGCCAGCCTGTAGTGTTCTGTAACAGATGCATTCTCGGTGAGACTCTAGTGAAGGAATTCCAAACTGGTTGTCCTATGTGATTCGTGAGACTTTGCTGGTATAGACTTTAAATTGCATGGCTTAATACTGTTAGGGAAACTCCGCCACGGTGCCCCAAAATTTACTGTGCCTTTCTAAATGGGTAACTTACTGTTAGAGTATGTCAAAGAGACCTGCACCCAACGGGAGTAAGTTGTCCGGTGAAAGTATTCATTTGAGTTCCATTGACAGAGACATTTCTTGTATATAAAAAAAAAAGTTTGTGTGTCTTTTTAAGTAATCCATAACACCAGAGCCTTTTGTGGTAATGAGACCCAGATTTCCTTCTGTGTCTGTATCCCTTTATGCAGGCATGATTTCTTGGAAAGGAGAGTCCATATGTCAAACAGTGTCTCATTGAGAACATGGAATGATTCCATAGATGCTGTGGCAGTGATTAGAGTTTTAAATATTTTGTCCTTTCTGGATCAGTGGGTGCTTGGTTCCTTATCGAATCAGCTGCCTCAGTGATTGGGAAGGCAGGATGGTAAGAGCTTTTAGATCACTTATTGTACACGGATGCATTTGAACATTGATAGTTTGTCCAGCATATAAGTCAAAGAGACATTTGAATTAATTTATAATGTTGTTATGGAGAGTGTGTATTTGTGGAATTTATTATCAAAAAGTTACACAACAGCTGCAACCCTGAGTAACCACCAGCATTTAAAAAACAAATCAGAAATATTTATTATGAGGAAATTGCAGATTTTTATTTTGTTTGAAGCCACTTAAAACATTGTGTTTTTTTTAGGATTTTCTTTTTTTACGTACCTGAGTCTTACAGTTTATTCCTGTTCCTCCCTGAACTCCCTCTCCAACTTCTCACCGACAAAACTATCATCTGTGACCTTTCTAACCCCCAGAGCAGCACAAGGAACACAGACAGACCTCTGCTCTGCATTAGGTGTTAGGGACGTCATTAATGCTTACTGGAAAAGTACACCCCAGAGAGCCAGGTTTTGGCTTTGGCAGGTAAAAAGTCTTTTAGATCTTGGAATGCTGGAAACCTTAAACCTTTTGGTTTTTTAGCTAAAGTGATTGGCAACAGAATGTGACATCTGAGGTTTTGTGGCCAGCAATAGCCATAATTAACCACATGAGCTCACATTTTCCCACTGGAGGTTCAGTGGTCTTGGGGTGATGAAAGTGACTTCCCTACCAGGAGGTGGTTTTCCTTTTGAGGGTATTGGAATACCCTTGGGCCCTGTAATGCCTCACCCGTGGTCCCTTTAAAATGTTTTTTAATATAAAGCTTTAATATTGGAAATCCAACGCCCTGGTGTTTAACAGTGAGGCTGTGACTGAGCACTTTGGTCTGGAAGAGGAAACAATCTGGGGTTTTAAGAGGTGGAACGGGGAGTCTTGTGGGGGGAACGATGGTGAGTGTGAGGAACCAGAATCAAAGCTAACTTCCAATATTACCCAGTTTCTAGTGTTTGCTATTTCTTTTTGGTTTTTAATTTGCATATGTAGGCTTTTAGGAGATACCTTTTTATCATTAAATTTAAGCAAACTTGTTTCGATCGTTGAAAAGAGGTGATGTTAGAAGACCAATTTTTGTTTTTTTAATAGCTATGTGGTTGTAGTCTCAAAATATGCAAATGTAATTCTTTAGTATCACTCCTTTAGTAATATGGAAAAAAGGTAGATGCTTGAGTGTTTAGCATTGGAGAGTTGTTGTTTTTAAACATTTGTAGTTTGCATTTAACCCAGCCATGGGCAAACTACGGCCTGCGGGCCAAATCCAGCCCGTTTGAAATGAATAAAACTAAAAAAAAAAAAAAAAAAAGACCGTATCCTTTTATGTAATGATGTTTACTTTGAATTTATATTAGTTCACACAGACACTCCATCCATGCTTTTGTTCCGGCCCTCTGGTCCAGTTTAAGAACCCATTGTGGCCCTCACGTCAAAAAGTTTGCCCACCCCTGATTTAACCTCTTTGGGAGGCTAATTAAAAGGCCTTCTGTTGCTTCTGTCAGGTCATATAGGAAAGAACAAGTTTAGTGTGAAGCACATACAGGAAATTTAGGGCTTATAGATCCTTCATTACTGTAAGCCCTCTTCTTCTTCTCTCCCTTCCAAAGAAGGTTCTTAAAGACCAAGTCCTTCGGTATTTTATGTTTGATAAGCCTCTTTACAGATTCAGCAACCTCTGATGCAGCTCAACATTCCAGCTGTGACTCCACAGATAGATATTTTGGGGGTCTGGGTATAGGCACAGTTCTCCCTCTTATTCCATCACTCATGGTTTTTATCTGTATGGCTTTGACTAAGCAACTTATATGACCTAGATCTCATTTTCTTTTCATCTCTAAATGGATAGCATTAGACTAAGTGGTTTTTAAGGACTCTCCTAACTCTAATGTTACATGATGATTAAATTGTAAATGTGATGACTTTACAGTGTAATGTAATGTTAATCTCAAAGGTAGTGTGATATACAGATTTCAATAGAAGCAGAGTGCTGCGGTATTCAAGGTACTTGGGTGGGACCGGGGCAAGAGGACAAGGTCTTTAAAAATAGGAATAAAAATAGGATTCTAGTCAGTTAGGGCATGACTCAGAACTGTCAGTTGAAATGAATGCTGTTTGATATTTTTTTCATCAGTTTGATTTGAGAGAGCATCAAACATTGATTGAGAAGTCCATTCTCTGTCTGGTACTATACAAGCCACTGAGGACTCACAGACTTTTTATATGTTCTTTGCCATTCATAGAAAAGAGCAAAGAAACTCAGGTGGTACATGTGTGTCATATGCTTGATATGTTCTAGGCTTCCAAGTTAAAAAATTTATTCCACAGTTAAGTTCTGGGACAGTATGCTAGAATGCCTAGAGGACAGAGACAGTGTCAAGTCATCTGTATACTAGCCGTATTACTTGGACAGGTTTCTTACCTTCTTTGAGCCTTAGTTTCTTAAGCTGCAAAATGAATGACATAGCATATAAAAAGTCCCCAGTTTAGTAATTATTGATGAATGAAGGACTGTCACAAATAAAGTATTATGGTCAATTCTGGTGGAAGAAAAGTATATCATAAAAGTTATCTATTTTTATAATATGATTCAAGAGAAACCAAGGGTCTGCTATGGCAGTCAAGGGTAGAGAATTCACTGAGGACTAGATGGCTACTGGTATAATGGCATTCCTACAACAAGAAGATAATGCTTAGATAACTAAGTATAAATATAAAAGAAGAATGTGAATAATATTACTAATAATTGAAGTTAAATGTACCCTTAGAAATCAGGAAATATTCAAGCCAAGGCCATCTCAAGTATTTCAGCCTTTCTTTGGTTGGAGGTATTCCAGATGTGTGAAATCTTTTAGTATATGTGCACGTGTGTGTGTGTGTTTGTGTGTGAAATTTTTTAAGTATTTTGGGAATACCGTATACCAAACAGTTACTTTTTTCTTCCTCTTGGGTCAAGTTTAAACTTTTTGTTGTATTACTTGTTTTGAGTGCCTAATTGATTATCACTTGGTAGGTGGTAGCAGAAATCTGGTTGGTGAGTTAAAAATATAATTCTGTGACTTCTTAAAAGACAGTTACTTATGTTTGATTGGAGGATACATGCATTTTTCAACAGTTGCTTCCATTTAATTGCATAAATAGGATATATTAACACTGTGGCTTTTTAGTTTTTTGCTTTTACTATTTAAAACATTTCCCCCCTTATTATATTTCAAACTTTATCAACTTATTTATGCAACACTATCTTTATGAATATTGAGAATATACCCTATAAAAGATTATGCTATTTCACTTCATATTAGAATTCGTAATGCTGTATAGTAGTATAGCAGCACAACTATATTGCTTATAAGTTGTTAATGAATAAAATATACAGTGCTTATATAATGAGTTATGTTTAAACCTCTGAAACTAACTTTCACATTGTATAATAGGCTCAACTATTATTTCTACCTTTAAAAATGCTGGGGAAGGAAGTAATGAATATTTGAATATATTAAGAATTCTTTAAATATATATCAAATGTTAATCTCACCACATTAATTATTGGGAAATAGTTTTGAATATAGTAAAGTAAATTTTAAGTGTGTTTAGATTTGTCTAAAATTCATATAATTGAATTAAGTTTATAATATAAGTGTATAATTGAGTTTAAGATTATAAATGTAAACTATGTAATTTAGATAAGAATATTTTATTTACCAGTTATTTCTTAATAAAATCTCCTTTGAAATTGATTCATTATGATCTCATAGCTACATTTAGAAGGTAAATAATTGTTTTCTTCTGCTTTTAATCTACAGCAAAAGATGATGGAAGCATTGCTGTTGCCCTTGGTTACACTGCACATTTGGTCTCCATGATTTCCTTTTTCCTGCAAGTGCCCCTTAGATATCCTATAATTCATAAGGGATCTAGATCAACAATCAAAGATAATATCAATGACAAGCTGACAGAAAAGGAGAGAGAGTAAGTATCTTTCTAAAATATATTTTTAATACCAAGCCAGTATAAAACATGGAGTATATTAAAAACATAAAATGTGACTTAGATTGTAGTAATTTTTATATATACTTTTTAAAATTCTGTTTCTTTTATTTATTTTTTAAATTTTTTTATTGATTAAGGTGTCCTTATTCCCCCATTTCCTCCCCCTCCTACTCATGCCCTCACCCCCTTGTTGTCTTTGTCCATTGGTTAGGCTTATATGCATGCATACAAGTCCTTTGGTTGATCTTTCCCCCTTACCCCCAGCCTCCCCTACGTTCCCTCTGAGGTTTGACGGTTTGATTGATGCTTCTCTGTCTCTGGATCTGTTTTTGTTCATCAGTTTATGTTGTTCATTATATTCCACAAATGAGTGAGATCATGTGATATTTATCTTTCTCTGACTGGCTTATTTCGCTTAGTAGCATAATGGTCTCCAGTTCCATCCATGCTGTTGCAAGTAGTAAGAATTCCTTTCTTTTTTACCGAGCATAGTATTCCATTGTGTATATGTACCACAGTTTTTTAATCCACTGATCTGCTGATGGGCACTTAGGCTGTTTCCAAATCTTACCTATGGTGAATTGTGCACTATGAACATAGGGGTGCATATATCCTTTCTGATTGGTGTTTCTAATTTCTTGAGATATATTCCTAGAAGTGGGATCACTGAGTCAAATGGGAGTTCCATTTTTAGTTTTTTGAGGAAACTCCATACTGTTTTCCACAGTGGCTGCACCAGTTCTGTTTCTTTTAAATAGAATATAGTCATCCATTCATTTAGATTGTAATGGATCTACTCCTGCACTTGTTAAAGTTGCTAATCATAGCAAAATTGACTCATTTAAGTTTAACTTGCTTTTTTGAGGACAAGTATAATAATTCTGCAAATATTCATATAGTACTTCTTTCCTGTTAGTCAACAAATGAAAGAGGTAAAAGATTTATCAGAAAGACAACCAGAAAAAGAATGAGAGACTTAACAACAGATTGTACATATCTGAAAAATGGATTAGTAAACTGGAGAATATGTCAGTAGAAAATATCCTTACCAAAGCACAAAAAAACAGAAAAGATGTATTGTATAGAAATATGCTAGACACATGTAGGACACAACCAAAAGAGCTTATATACTTATAATTGGAGTCACAGAGAAGAAAAAAAGAGCACACAGGGTAAATGCAATATTTTAATAATTAATGACAGTATTTTTCAAATTGATGAGGCATCAAGCTACGAATTCAAGAAACATTAAATATAGCATAAAGTAAATACAGAGCCAAAGTACTTAGGGAAATTATTGTGAAACAGCTGTAAACCAAAGACAAAGTGAGAATATTAAAAGTAATTAGGAAAAAAGACAGACTAAGTGTCAAAAGAACAATAATAAGACTGAAAGCTAATTTCTCAATAGAAACATTGAGAGCCAGAAGTTGATGCAATGACATTTTAAAAGTACTGTAAAACAATATTGCCAATTTAGAATTCTATATTCAGTGAACATATCCTTCAAAAGTAAAGGCAAAAATAAAAACATTTCAGACTATCGCAACTGAGAAAATACCTATACTAAGGGGAAATACCTAAAAGCAGAATAAATAATCTCACACAGAAATTTGGAAATGCAAGAAGGAACAAAGAGTAAATATGAGTATTTCTAAATTAATTTAGACTAAAAAGAAAAGGGGAATATCTTATTAAGTATAATATATTTAGAATTGTAATGCATGAGTAACACAAAAGTTGGGAAGTAGAAATGGAGTTAAAGTGTTCTAAGATCCTAGTATTATCTGGATTTTGGTAAAATCCTAACTTATATTAGACTCTAATAAATCAAGGATACATGTTATAATCTCATAACCATTAAAAGTTATTTTGAGCAAAAAAATAATAGAGGAGATAAATGGAAAAAAATTAAATACTTGATTAATCCAAACGAAGGCAAGAAAAGAAAGGAAAATGAACATTAATTTCAAACCTAAACAAATAGTAAATCTGTAGATATGAACTCAAACTTATTCTGTAATTACATTAAATGTAAATGTTAATAAATATTGTCAGGCTGAATAAACATATGAAAAGATGCTCAATGTCACTAATCATTAGAAAGATGCAAATTAAAACCACAATGAGGAATGGCTACCATCAATAAATCAGCAAGTAAGTGCTGGTGAGGATGTGGAGAAAAGGGAACCCTAGTATTCAGACAGTGAAATTTAAAAAGTGAAATTTAAGGCAATTAAGTGGGACATTTTATGATAATACAGTCAATTCCAAATATATATGTAGTTTTATAGATAAATTTTTTTGAAAAAATTTAGGAAAAAAGAAAATATTGGATGATAATGTTTGTCTTTCTTCAGATAAATTTCACTTTAGAAACCCTCCTTTTATTGTAACCCAGTTTTAATTAATCAAAAATGTCATTGCAACTATTAAATTCTTTGCTTGTAATGTATGTTTGTGAGATAATGAACCATTTTCTTCCCTACTGTGTAAATGACACTATGGAGACTAATAAGCACTTTTATAAGTTGTAAAACTCTTTTAGGTCACTGGGATACCTCTCAGGAAATTAGCAAAATAAGTAAAATATATATATTTTACAGCCATAACTTCAAATATTTAGATAAAAGTTAACAGAACTACAAGGAAATCCACAGTCATAGCAGAGAGGACTTCGAATTTCCTTTCTTTAACTATTAGAATAAGCAGACAAAAAAAAATCAGAATCTAAAAGACCTGAATAGAACAATTAGTAAGCTTGATCTAAGTTATAGGTAAAAAATATTGCACCAAAGATTATAGGATATACATTTCTTTCAGACACACTTGGAAGATTTACTAAAATTGATTATGCTGGGCTTCAACAAATTTCATAAGATTAAAGTGATTCATAATATGTTTACTGACCACAGTGAAATTTACTAGAAATCAATAATCCCTAAATGTGTGGATATTAAATAGTATACTTCTCTTTAACCTATAGACTAAAGAAGAAATTATAAAGGAAATTTGAAATTATTTGAAACAATAATGAGAATACAGCATATGAAACTTTGTAAGGTGCAGCTAAATCTTTGCTCAGAGGGAAATTTATACCCTCAATTGCATATATTAGAAAAAAAGAAAGATGTAAAAATTAATCATCTGAGTCTCCTGAAACATTTAGAGAAAGAAGAGGTAGTTAAGTCCTGTGAAAGTAGAATGAAAAAAATAATAAGCTAAGAGCAGAAATTAAATGGACAACTGTACCTTAAAAAATAATACAGGCAAAAGTTCTAGTCTGAAGCAGCTAGGAATTGATAAGCCCTCAGGGAGGACTATTGAGAAAGAGAAGAGACAGGCAAAATAGCTAATATAAGTGAAGAAGAAAAGGTGTCATTACAGATATACAGACATTAAAAGATAAGATCTTATAAACAACTTTATGCTAATAAGTTTAAAATTCAAATGAAATGGATAAATTTCTAGAAAAACAGAACTTTCCAAAACTGATACAAGAATGATTAGAGTTTAGAAAGCACTACACTTGGCTAAAGGGAAGTGGTTATAAAATATTCTAGCTAAGTTATTCTCAACCCTGACTGCTATACACTAGTGTCATCTGGGAAGTTTTGAAAATGACCTCCTAACCTCCAGATTCTTGGCCTCTCCCCCAGAAATTCCGATTCAGTTGATGGCGCCCAGACATGAGGTGTTTATTTTTTAAACGTTGCCGGAAGTGATTCTGATGTGCAGTTAAAGTTGAGATCTCCTGTTGTAGATTGAGAGATTGTTGTGTCCATGGGCATGAAGAACTGAATGCCCTCTACTCTATATAGGAAACTGCAAGAGCAAAGGCAGGAAAGGTGGGCCCCAGTAGAATAATTTAGTGCTGTATCTGGGACAGTGACTCTCAGATGGTAAGTGGTGAGCAGGGAGTATATGTATAGTATAAGCCAGTGTCTTTCAAAGACATCAGTTGATTAGTTTATAACCCAAGTGTTCTTTTAAATTTTAAAAACCTTTAAAGGGAGTCTGAAATGTATATGTTTGACAGAAGGGGATATGGGTATAATTTCTTGTTTTAAAAAATTGAAGTGTAATTCACATAAGATTGACTTTTTAGTGTTACAATTCAGTGGCATTTAATATATTCACAATGTTATGGAACCACCAACTCCTCTAGTTCCAAAACATTTCATCACCCCACAAGAAAACCCCATTAAACTGTCACCCATATCTCCCCAACCTGCACCCCGTTTCCTCAGCCTCAGGCACATATCATCTGCTTTCTGTCTGTATGGATTTACCAATTATGGATATTTCATATAAATAAAATCATGCAATATGTGACCTTTCTGTTAAGGTTTTTTTCACTCAGTCTAATGTTTTCAAGGTATATCCACATTGTAGCATCATTAGCACTTTATTCACTATTATCCTATCTAATAATAGAGAAACATGGTAATTAACCGTAACTTCACTACGCTCTCCAGTGGCTAATCAAGGCAATATGCAAATTCACTGCCAGCCAAGATGGCAGCTGGCAGCCACACAGCTGAAGCGAACATGAGGCTTGCTTGCTCCAGTGATGGAGGAAGCTAAGATTCCCCGCCTGCCGCAGCCTGGCTCTGAGCTCCAAAAGCAACAATGATTCAATTATAGAAGCTAAACAAACCCCAGATACCTGCTTTCAGCCGGCCGCAGTCTCAGAGCTGGGAGCGCCAGTGATGGCAACAGTGTTTCAATTATAGAAGGTAAATAAATCTCAGAATAAAAAAAAAGAAAAAAGGAGAGCCTGGGAGCTTCAGTCGCTGGCCAGCCTGAAAACGGCCCTCAGCCCATCACCCAGACTGGCCAGGCACCCCAGTGGGGACCCCCACCCTGAAGGGGGTGTGGCCAGCCTGAAAACAGTCATCAGCCCCTCATCCAGGCTGGCCAGGCACCCCAGTGGGGACTCCCACCCTGAAGGGGGTGTGACCAGCTGCAAACAGCCA